TTGTTGTGGCAAAATATCTAGGCCGTAAAAAATGGTTAAACGCCAGAGCAATTACCAGGCCAAACAACTTGAGGAGAACGTGGTTAAGTACGAAGAGCAATGCCCATGGCCAACTACAGTGAACTCCCAACTGGGAGGTCTAATAAAATACGGTATAATCTGCATCAGCAGCTAGCCAGGAGAACTCATTTCTTGGCCACTCACATTACATGGCTTACATTTTTCTGTCATATACTTTTCTTCTGCGCCAGAAGAATCCAAAGAACAATGAAAGCTGCCCACTTAAGCGAAATTTCATTTCTGACTTTTCCGCTTATCTGTGCAGTTTGCGCCTCGGTTTATATCTGCATTTTATGCCATATATAGCTATCGGATTCATCATATATACTCGTATGTTGTGCATACGGAAACAAGGCGCATTTGTATGAGAATGTTCAAGTTTAATCTGAGTTGGCTGACGTTTTTCCTCGTTGCGATTGCAAGAAGGTTTAAAAATAACAAAGCCTCTGATAAGATGATAGGCTAATGGGTACCTTTTAAACGGCACAAATGAATCTTAAATTCGAGTAAAATATGATTTATTGAGAAGTTTCTTTTAATTAAAGTAATCCTTTAACTGTAGTAAAAAACTCTACATCCTTAACTCATGTGATAAGATTTAATCATCTTGAGTTCATTTAAGTTATTTGTTAAAAGTATTTTGTTGTCTAAAAAGAAAAACGTATCTAGTACTCATATTTCTATGTAAACAATTGATAATGTTTTGCTAAGCTATCTAATAAACTAATATGTATTTTAGTTAAGACAAGTATTTAGCTAAGATAGTAAACTTCCAAGTTTAACAAATTGTACTATATATGTTTCTCTTTTACAGGGTATGGCCATCTCTTCAGCAGGCATCTGAAAAATTCTGCTTTACTTTCCAGTTTTTTACGCTGTCAGCTGTCTCTAGTCGTCTGGCCTGCTAATTTCCTCCATTAACTATTACTTAATTGCCGCTTGACACGATGTTTAAAGCTTCTCTCCCATTTCCCCACACTTTTCCCACAGCTGGCGATAAAATTCCATTCAAGATAAGATATCAATTTTATCTGTCTAACTCAGCTTTTGTGAGTCACATGCAAAATACTTTTTGCCGATATCCAATCAAATCAGATCAAATCATTTCCTGAATTCGCGCAGAACAATGCGAAGAGAGGAAATACAGACACACAAATCCAAAGATATAAACATAAACAAATGGTTGAATCAACAAGCGGCCAAGTGAAAGATATTAATTAGTCGGCGTGGCAGAGGGGGCAAGTGGATAAGAAATATTCTCTAATGAGAAAACCCAAACACGTTCCACACATCCGATTCCGATTGCCGGTGTCCGCTTCTGTGGATCATGAATTATGCAGCCGGCGTTTAATAAATATAATGCATTGAGAAAAATATTGAGTATATCATATAAACTTCGATATCATTTTACAAAACTATTTCCAGCCACTTAAAATGACTACTAAATCTTTTAAAACCTCTTTTTCATAGTGAATATCTTTGAATTTTCCTAAAACATCTTTAAATTCTAAAAATACTTTAGTCATACTATCTACTATCTAAATACTACTACTTCTAAATTTCTCACCATTTGAAAACAATTTATTAAGCGATTTCGAGCTTTATTTTTCTCTGTGTAAAATTTATATATTGTAAAAAAGCCATGCAATTGCTGGCTGGTCGTTGTGCTTCAATAGAGTTTTAGTTATAGAGTCATTAGACAAAAGAACTATGTCACGAGCCGTTTTCCTTGGCCAAGTGGAAGGAAGCTAGCGGTAATGCTGAGAAAAAATCAGGGAGAGGAGAGGGGAAGAAAAACAAGTCTCAAGATTCCTAGCTCTTCATGTTGGTCCCGCATCTCCATAACTCAAATACAGATTCAGATTCCGATGCGAACTGAATTGAAATGGATTGGATTGGAATGGACGACTCGAGTGGAAAGTGGGAGGAAATGGATGTGGATATGGAAGTGGACAAGCCTTGGCAACAACAATGCGGAAATGTTAATTGGATTTGTTGTGGCATCCATGTGGGTGGTTCGCTGTAGACATCTCTCGTTCAGAGTTCAGGGGTCAATGCATCGTCAACCATATCAACCTCAGCTATCCCCCGCTTGCTTCGCTCTTTGTTTTTCGTTTAAAGCCAAAGCTGCCTGATATGACACCGTGGTTAGTCACAAAAACAAAAAGTTGACGCGGCCAGTTGATGATTCAGATTTTAAGGTATTTTTCGCCGTAGTTTCTTTTCGATGCATCCGCCCAAAATACCTGGAACTTTTCTGTAAAGCCTCTGCGTACCAAACATTTAGTCATCGTTAAAATCCCAAAAAAAAAACAACAGTAACGCAGTGTAAACAGGGAAAGAAGTGTTATCTCTATAGTTCACTTTAAGTACGGTACAACTTTGATAAAGCTGCCTTATGATATCACTTATATAAACACAGTAATATATTTAGAACAGAATATAATATCGTTATCATATACCCTCGGTTATAGACTTTTTTTTCGTTAAGTTGTACTTCTATAATCCTCCCGTTAAATATTATCTTTAAAACTTGATTATAATTATTAATTAAACAATTTATTAAATATTTGTTCTATTCAAATTTTTGTGTTTTGTTTTATTTAAATGTTATCAAAACTAGTCCAGATCAGATAAAAAACCAACTTAGCCAGGTTCGACTGTAAAAGCTGATAAAATGGAAATGGGCCAAGGAAAAAAACAACTACAAAAGGGGAGCATATTGTCTGTTTGTTATTAACCAAAGCAAATCGTAAAGCGAGGACACGTGTGTTTTGGTTTTGTTTTCCGATTTTTTTTTTTCGGGGTTTACTTAAGTTTTTTATCTTATCTAGTAGCAGCTGGAAAACTAGGCTAACGGTGTTCAAATAACTGTGTCGTCACACCCTCTTTCTTTACCTCTCTATTTCTCTTCGTTACACCTTTCTCGTTCTAATGCAACAATTACGAAATCCGCGTTGCATGCGGCCATGTGTTTTGGAATTGGTTTGGCCCAAGGGAAGACCAAAAGGAGGAGAGAATAGAAGAACGAAGAGTAGGCCAAAAAGATAGGCGGAGTAGGTAGCGAATGGAATGCAAATTTCTATGCGCAATGGAAGTTCCGCTACTCGTATTATCATATGGAAATCCGAGTTACGGAAATCATACTTAATACGATTCAGAAACGTAAATTTGCAACACAAAAATTATTGCGCTTAAAAGCAATATTTTTTGCATGTTTAGATGAACTCATTCATATTAAAGCCGCAATAAGCCCCATTAAATTTATTGGCATTATTACTTTTTCTAAAATATGATATATGTATATGAACAATACCGACTCGTTTAAAATCAAGCTAAAAAAAATGTATGGTTTATAATACCTAAACTCTTTATATATTTGAGAATTTATTTCAAAGTTAACTTCTTCCTTAAGTTCAAAAACTAATAGGTATTAAGGGCTTCGTATGTTTGTTCTTTTGTTTTTTGAACTCAAATCAAAGAATCTAAAAACTTTGGAGAGATGGGGATTTATTTTTGATAAATATGAACTCAAGCTATGAAAATTGTATGGCTGAAGGTTGTTATGACTGACTTCCTTATAGTAAACTATTTTTAAAATAAAGTTACTTTAAACAATAATTTGCTAAGAAACTACAAGGCTTTTTGTGTCCCAAAAAAAATAAGTTTGTTAGGTTAGAAGAATTGAATCGTAATGAATCAAAATACCTTGGAATTGTGTAATTTAAAATGCTGATTTTCGGCCTATTTACGAACGGGTTTTTGGTTTTAGCCCTATGAGTGTTGTGTTGGGTTTGTTTGTGTTTTTGGTTGGGTCTTTGGCCCGCTTCATTTGGCAAGCGAGCGTAAAAGCCGAAATATGAGTCATGGCAAGTTGGCTGCCATTTCAGGGCTAAAAGGAGTTTTGTATTCTTGGTTTGTTGTTATTGTTGTTTGCTGGCTGCTGGTGCATTGACATTTAAATGTTTGCGGTGGAAAAGGGGGCTGTGGAAGAGGAAGAAGCGACTGGAGAGCTGTGGCATAAATTAAAGTTCAAACAAACACGAAGAAGAGGAGGAAAATCGAGGCTGCCCCACCCGCACAATCTGCGCATCTCTCTCTCTTTTTTGGGAGGCTCTCTCTCTCTCTGTCATTCACTGCCTCTCTCTTCTTCTTCACCCTCCCATTTGGCAGGTTTTTGTTTGTTTTGCGGCGAAAGAAGCCCAAGAAGAAGCAGAAGCAGCAGCAGCGCAATTGCTGCCAAAACAAGAAGAATAACAACAACAAATGCAGGGGGATAAAGAGAGGGGAGCTAAAGAAGTAATTAAAGCAAAGTCGAAAAAGAACAGCTGCCCCTCTTCTTTTACCTCTACCAGCGCTACAGAAAATGAAAGAGTCAAAAAATCCGAGGATTCTAGCAAGGGGGAATTGATCTCCACATATGTTTTTTAACTGGAATATTTATTTTTAATTTGTTTTTTAACATGTTAATTTCATTTTTTAATTTATTTTTTGTGGAGTTAAAACCCCCTTAAACTTCAATCCATATGCGCCCCTGCCTATAAAGAAAACAGGTTTTAGGTGCAGGCAAAAAAAGGAATGAAGAAGCAGTCGGAGTAACGACAGCTGTTTTTAAAGGGCCCACACTTAATTTGCACAAATCTAAGCGATTTTAAATGTTGGCGAAACTATCTAAAAACTGCCCTCGCACGCACACACACACTCGCCCCTGCACGGAAAAGGAGAGGTGCGCAAAAAAGGGCGTGTTTGTGTAGGAAGAAGAAGCAATAAGTGAAAAAGGGAGCAGGAGTAAATTGGCAAACAGAAAGACGGATTTATCAAGAAAAAACAGAAGTCCCAAAAAAGATATTAAAAGAACAAATAAAATCAAAGAGAAACAATCAAGTGCATTTCCTGGATTAAAAATAAGATCTTGCAAAAAACAAATAACAAAAACTTACCACAACATTTTGGTCGATTCCGTTTCCACAGCGAAAATGCGTTGGTATTAGTGTGCGGCGTCTGCTCTGCTTCTTCTTATTCTTCAGCTTCCAACCGAAAGAGCGAGAGAGAAAGAGAGCAAATTGCAATTTTCACCTCTATGTCGGTTTAAAAAATAATTGTGATTTAAATTTTTAATTAAAAAGCTTGACTTCTTTTTGTTTTTTAGTTGCACACACACACCGAAACAAACACAGTTAGAGAGTGAGTGGGCAAGAGAGACAGAGAGAGACAGATTACGAGAGCGGGCGGGCGGGGGAGAGAGAGGAAGAAGCGAAAAACTCCTTTTCAAGGAGTAGACACCAATTTTTCTGGGTTCTCTCTCAACGCGAAATAGAGTTTTTACTTTAGCAAATTTTATTTGATTTTATTTTTGTTAATATTAGTACACCCATACACTCATACACACACTTTTTGCGAGCCGAGGATGTTCCTTTCGACTAACTCCTTTTTCTTAAAGGGACTCTGTCAACTAATTGCCTGTTTTCGTGCTGTTTTATTTTCTGATTATTATTTAAACAATCCAATCACTCACAGCTAATTGCTGGCGTTTGGTGGTATCATTTTCCGCGACAGCACCAAACAAATCAAAGGAAAGGCGGCGTTTTTCCCCGGAAAAAACAGTCCGTGTGCGCTTTGCGTTCCGTTTCGTGATTCGTTTTCGCGCAGTGTGACCAGACAGTGATACGACTTTACGACTCTGTGGTCTGGGTCAAATACGAATTGTCTAATTTATACTGATGTATTTTACGTTAAAATGCTCTCTCATGACGAATCTGGTCACTTTATAGTGGGAAGCAACGCACTTTCATCGGTTTAAAAAATATAAAATTAAATATGTAACCATTTAATAATTTTAATTTCATAAAATTATATTTTAATTGTTTATTTTTCTAATTGATTGTAACTTATGAATTAGAATTTTCCATGTTATTGGTTTGCTATTGGTTAAATGGCAATAGATTGCGAATTAGATAAAAAAAATTAAAAATAAGCTAAACTTAAATAACTAAACAAATAAATAACTAAACTGCCAAAGTATTTATTTAATAAATAAACATTTCTTTCAACAGTAAATAAAGTTGCGAACAATTTTCAGTTTGGTGTTATCCCGTTAAACCAAGATTAGCAGTGACATAAACCCATTTACCTGGATCTGTTAGGTACCATATTTTGCTAACAGAAAATGTTATTTGGAGGAGATTTAAACAGGAAAATATTACAAAATTTCACCACAAACCACCTGAAAATTATTCATTTAATCTATTTAGTCGCATGTCCAATATAAAAACTTAGAAATAGAGATCATATATTTTAGAATTTTATTCATATTATTTGTCTTACAGCTATCATACACTACCAATTTTATTATAACCTTAGGGGATAAGAACTTTTGAACTAACCAATATTATATTGCAACACGAAGAAAAAACTATGAAATTTAGCACCCCTTTTTAAAAATTTAAACTCATAGCTTTGTCCGTATTTCTCGGCTGCTTTAATTTGCTTACACAGGGCGGAAATTTTGGAACGTGTCAGTAATGGCGGTAAAAAACTGTAAATTAGAATAATCGTCTAATATATAAATTAATATCCATGTTACGTCGGCTAGTAAACGGCATCCCGGTAGCTCTCTATAAATGTTTGGATCAGTCCCGGTAATTCGGGTGCTCGGCAGAGGTATTTGTGTCCATATTTATGGCTCGAACCGAAGCGATGGAACTCCACGGGTCCCCAGGCGCGGCTCCTACCATCTAAGGCAATCCTATACAGGCGATATCCCAGATGGAACGGCACCACAACATCGTCTTCGGCGTGGATGATCATTACGGGTTGTCCGAACTGCTGGATATGAACATCAGACTCAAATCGCAGATCATTGGTGTACATGGGTCTCGAGATGGTGAAATCAAACCAGGGCAGGTTCCTAAAGAGCTTGGCAAACGGATGCATGCGTATCTCATCCCGAATGTTGGTAAACGGGCTTTCAAGGATTACTCCCCTGGGACCTCTTTCCCGTAAGCTGGCTAGTTTAGCGCACATATGCGTGGCCACTCCGGTGCCCAGGGAATGACCCCAAACCACGATCGGATTAGAGGTGATGTTGGCTATATATTCGAACACCTTCATGGCATCGCGCACCACGCCATCCTCCGTGGGTGGAACAGGATCGGAATCCCCATAGCCTCTGTAGTCGAAGGAGAATACATGGTAGTTCAGCTTTCTCAGCAGCTTATAGACCTCTGATCGGTGACCACTGCCTCGACTAGCTGTATTCCCATGGAGATAGAGGACCACAGTGCCTCCTGGCATCCGCAGCAATCGTTCGTAGAAGAGCTGCTCGTTTTCTGGCAGTACAACGGGAAATTCTGATCTTATGGCTGGCGCCAGATCTTTAAGTTCCTTTTCGTTCCCAGTTGTTGGATCTCTCTGATCCGGATCTTTTGCGACTTCCTCCTCAACGCGGAGTTCGCGCTTAAAGCGCCGCACCGCATTGCTAGGCAGGACATGCCACACGCCAATCCGTACTCCATCCTCATCCTGATCGTGATCCTTGACGGTGATGTAAAAATTCCGGGTGGCATAAAGCCCTATGCTCTCCGGCTTGGTGAGATCAAGTCCTTTGGGGTACTTAACTGAAAGGGAGGAGGAATAAGAATTCTAACTATGTCAGTTCTCAAAGTTATTAACAGATACTTACCGAATGTGAGGAATAGTATGCCGCGCTGGAAGGTCACCGAGAACCGGAATATCAGCGGTAGGATCACAAAGATTACGAAGAAGATCAGCAGACATGCTTGGAGAGCTCGCAGACCCACCCTACGAAAAATTTGAACGGATGAGAGGAGAACGGTGACTGGGGGGATAAGGAAGTGGGAATAACAACAAATTTAACTGAGTGACAAAAAACATGAAAGATGATACAGGTGCGGGCGTGATGGATCTGGGGATACATATATGTATGTACATTTGGTTAGCAAGCAAAGCTTAGATATATAAATACGGAAAAGCGGAAACGGAACAGAGCCGGCGAAGTCCGCGAAAGAAATGTCTATGTCACGATGTTTAGTTCATCAAAATCAGAAGAAATGGGTTACGGGTTAAGTCTACATTAAGTAGTTAAACAAGCGAACAACATCGAATCGAGCGGTGATACTTACAGACCAGTTAGCCAACTAAGTAGGATCGTTCCGGGAATGACTGTGGCAAAGAAAGCGGACCTTAGCCAACTATGAAGCTCGTACATTGTGATTGTTTTACGTCCGTATTTTATACTGCCTTAAAGTATTGTTAGCGATATACTATATCTTTTCTATAGAGGTAAGCGACTTAACACTGAATGTTACTGATTTTGTGCGATTTTTTGTGCGGAGCTTTCCCGGGCGAAAAGAGAGATAAACAAATTTCTTAGTTATTACTTGATTGATTGAGATATTTTTGTTGTTATTTTTTTTTTTTGTTTTTGCTGGGGGATTCACCAGGCGGGACGCATGCATACCGAACCGGACCCGAGAACTGTTCCTCCGGATAGCGACCTTTGCACCAGAGGGATTAAACGATGACAAAGTGGCGATTTGGGTGAGTGGTTAGGTGATCGAGTGACTACAATGTGTTATGTATAGGCAAGGGCGAGCACTAGGGTGGTTCTTCTATAACGCATGCAAAAAGTCAAATTATCACTTTTTACAACCGTATTAAGGTAGAGCTTACTACCATTCACTACTATTTATAAGAAGGTAATCTTATAAAATGCACAAACTTTTAGTTAGGTTTCAATATTATATATTAAAAAATATTCAATATATATTAATATTAAAAAATATTTAGGACCAAGACGTAAAAACTATATTCCTGCGTTTTTCAGCTGCGGTATTAAGTTGGTCTCACTACACTCTTTCTTAAGCACACGAGTTCGTGTGCACGCAAAAATTATATTTTATGGTTCACTTCCGGTTTTTAGAATTGTTATCTACAAAAGTGGGGCACCCCATCGGGAGTAATAGCAATATGTGTGTAGTAAATTTTATAGAATTAGTGATGTGAAATATATAAAAAATTCAAAACTAGCTTCCGATTCACTTTGAATAAAATCTATTCACCTTACTGGACATTGAACACTACGTTAATGATATTGGCGACATTATGATATCAGATATGAGCGCTACCCGACCGTGACTAATACTTGGACGCCCGTAACTTTTCTGGAGGGAGTTCAGAAGCAAAAACTACGGAAGCGGACTCGTCGGGTGGTCGGTTATTTGGGATCGGGGAAAAACGAATATATATACGGGATCACAACACACAAATACACAAGCAAACACACCTCTTGAGTTGTCGCCGGCGCGTGAAGAGCATAACTGAAAAAGAGTAAATAACAAATAGGGCGTATTAGTGGGCTCATCATGATAAGGTGAAAAATCAAAATAACCGCCAACACTGCAAACGTTATCGATTATCTGCGATCGCTATCGAACGGAAAGTGATCGCTTCCGGCTTACAATTTTTAATCTTTGTTTCAACTTTAAATTCTGGATAAGCGTGTTGAGCTTTGCACAAAGTTTCCCTAGAAATTGCTGGTTTGCAAAGTTGGCAATTTTCAATTTTCTCAACAAGTGCAATAAAGCAATGCACTTGTGGCCAATTAACGATTAAATTGCCAATTATTCTTACTTGCAAAGAGAGCCTTTGGTCGTCAGGTTAATGAAAGCGTAGAAATTGCGATTGAATAATTCTCTCTACGCCAATAGCATGATGTCCTGAAAATAATACAAATTAGAAGTCCACTCATTAAAAATCTCTTAAATGGTTCGGCATGTCAGGGCGAGGTAGAGTAAATGTTTTTGCAACGTCTTAAACTTAAATAAATTGAAGTGAAGTTAATTCAGCAAAAAACTATATCCCCTTAACCCTTTACTCAGCCTAATCTCATTAACCCATTAGGGTGCACCCACAGCACCCTTTTTTGTTGGCGTGTCCATTTCTTTATGTAATTAATTGGGTTTTTATTGGGGTATAATCGATGCTTTTTTACTCACACTTACCACTCACGCGCCAGCAACCTTTCCTCTGTCTAAATTTGAAAAATTTCTGGAATATATTTATTACGCTCTTTTTCTGAACTATTAATGTGATATAAAATTTTTTTCTGCCGAACAGCTGTCAATGTTGTTATTGACTATCGATGCTAGCTAGAGATGTGCAAAGTTACTGCTCTCATAATCGCTCAGTATGCAGAAATTCCGCAACGCAATCTTCATTTGCATTTTGGTGAAAGTTTTGCATTATAATTTATGTATATTAATATATAGCTGATCCCATACGGGTAAAGTTCTTTTACACTGAAAGTGTTTTTGTTTTACAAACTTTTCTGTTTGCTAAAAATAACATTCTAATTTAAAAACATACCTAATGTTATTTGATGATATGTTACTTACATTTTAGAACACTTCGAAAATGTAAATTGTTAGAAAAAATTGAATCTATAAAGTTAATAAATCATAACTAAAAAATAAATTTTTAATTTTCAGTTCGTTTTAGATACACCCTAACAATATTGCTTACCGGCATTTCACGACTACCACCACTAATACGCTATCGATGGGTCGCATACAGTGTTACCAGACTTCCGCCCCTTAGAGTTTGTATTTTTTATTTGGGAAGCTCAGAAACAAAAGAAATTGCAATTTAGCCGCACAGCAGACGGCGCAAATCCAGATCCAGGATGAGGAGCTTGGAGGAGATCAAGGCGGAGTACCCGCTGCACTGGCACATCTGGCACAACGAACTGGAGCAGTTGCAGGCGGCCATCGACCAGGTGAAAAGAGGGGATGGTGTTCCGTGGGGGTGGGTGTGGCCCCCGGGGACAGGTGCTAATTGAATTAGCAGGGTCCGGGGAAATGACATGGCGATAAAAACCACTGATTCCGTCACATTTCAGAACGATAAGGAGAAAATCGATCCCCGCGGACGGACGCCGTTGATGCTGGCCGTGAGATTGGCCAATTTACCATGTGTTAAATGCCTTTTGGCGGCCAAGTGCAATGCCACCTACGAGCACGAAGGCTGGTCCAGTAAGTACACCAAAAGAAACCCCAGGAAAGAGTCTATATTAATACCACATCCGCTCCATTAGTTGTCCAGGAAGCCGTTTGTACCGGTGATGTCGACATCCTGACGGCTATCATCGAGGTTCGGGATCTCCAACGTCATGTCCAGCGAGTCACGCATGTGCCCAAGCTGCTGCAGCACCTACTAGATGCCCCCGACTTCTACATCGAGATGAAGTGGGAGTTTACTTCCTGGGTGCCTCTGATGTCACGGCTCTGTCCTAGCGACACCTACAAGGTCTACAAGCGCGGAGCCAACGTCCGGATAGATACCACCCTCCTGGGCTTTGACAACAACACCTGGCAACGGGGTAATCGCTCTTACATCTTCAAGGGAGCCAGTAAGTTGACAATGTTTTGGAAATTTTTTAAAGTCGTCGCATATTTTTGAAATCCTTAACAATTTTATCTATTAAAATAGTTTTATAAAGAAAATTGTAAAAACAAACTTAAACAATTTAATCAGTTAATTAGTATACGCAATAATATTAAAAACTATTTTCCATTTTTCATTGCAGAAGAAACTGCCACGATGATCGAAATTGATCACGACACAAATGAGGTAATGGTAGAGGAAATGAGCAGCGACATCGGCGACATTGTAGCCATTCCACCAGCCTTGGGAACAGTGAGGGCCCGTCTCAATGCCCCAGTGATCACCAACAACATCGAGATGGATAAGATCAGTTTTGAGCGCAACAAGTCTGGAATTTGGGGCTGGCGTAGCGAGAAATCCGAAGTGATCAACGGTTACAATTGCAAGGTATATGGGGCCAGCAATGTGGAGTTCGTGACCAAGACGCGAATGGATCACCTTAGCGAGGATCAGATCAAGGTATGACTGTGCAGTTTAGGTGTCCATCTATAAGAATCAATATGGTGTGAAAAGGTTTCCATTAGAGTTCTCTAAAGAAAAGTCGCAAAATGTATCTTGGCTTCGCATCTTTACGCTAATTCTTAGAACTCGGGAACTGTTATAAGTTTTGTATGAAAAATAATAATAGGTTCTGGGGCTTTGTAAATAGTAGGTGGTTATGGTTTATGGATTTTAATAAATCTTAAATTGTTTTTTTTTTATTTAGAACAAGACAGCGAGGACGCCACTTCATAGTCTGCTGGGAATCGCCGATGAGGATTATGTGTCCCCCGCTGATGCCGCTGCGGCACTCAAAGATCGCGTAAGTTCAAAGATAAATGTCCAACTCATACTTCTGTTTAATAATATCCTAATTTTCTAGACACCCTCGCCCCGTTTGGGGGAAGGTTCCGTTGCCGGAGCTGAAAATGGAGGCCGAGTCTCACCAGCCCCTGGAAATCCGATCAACGGAAGCTCCGCCTGTGCATCGGGCACAAGTACACCAAAGTCTTCTGTTACACCAGAGGAGTACTTCACTCCGGAGGTGGATCTTCACGGTAGGGACGTTGGAGGTCCCAAGAACTTAAGCACAAAGGTGCAGCGCTTCAAGGCCAATTTGTGGTTGGCCGAGGAGCATCCCATTCGACTGCAGGAACAGGTGCTTCCCATCCTGGACCTTATGTCCACCATGGCTAGTCCCCATGTGTCCAAGCTGAGAGACTTTATTACCATGCAGCTGCCTGCCGGTTTTCCTGTCAAAGTGGAAATCCCGCTCTTCCATGTTCTAAATGCTTGTATTACATTTGGAAATGTGTTTGCTTTAACCACACCCGTGGAGCACGTATCCACGCTGCAGGAGCAAGATCGAGTCACCTGTCTGGTAGACGATCGTTGCTTTGATGTCCCTGCCCACTACACAAACAGAGGCAGCGATGTCCGTCGTCAGATTCCTCTAGATGAGGATGATATGCTGCAGTACGCTATAGAACAGAGCTTGGCCGAAACAAGCGGCGCTTGTGGAGTGGACGCCAGGGACGACGACAAGGTGGATATATGGGAAGTGTTAAGGGGCCAAAACGTCGTTGGATCAGATCTCCTCCCGGAAGATGACGAGCAGCTGCAACGGTAAGTTTTTGAGATACATTTGCCCTTGCAGGATTATGTTTTTGCAAGGGTATCAGAGGTTCGGTTACCGAAACAGAGATGGATTTAGTGCTTTAACCAACACTAACATATATTAATGGGTAACGCTAGTGGCCCTCGCTTTTCCTCGCACTTGTTATCCCCCCACCGCCAGAAGTACGGGCGGTATTCCCCCTCTCCGAAGCACCATCCCCAATCCTTTCCCCACTCGCAACTCCAGTTGGAGCCACAAACTCGTGAGCGATCTGCTTCAGCTGGAGCCCAGTTTAAAAACGATTTGGGCTATATGAAGAAGATCTTCAAGTAGTATTAAAACCTTATCCTTTCCCTTTGTATTGCTAGTTTTGATCCAAGCTTTGTGTGTTCTTGTGCCCTTTTCCATTATCCATTGCAGAGTCCTACAGGAATCATTGCTGGGTGCTCATGCGAATCCACAAAGTGGTTCGCCCGCCTCCGAAGACGACGACGATGGAGGATTCCGGTATGTGGATCCGGACTTAGCCATGGCCATGCGACTGTCCCAACAAGAACAAAGAAAGTTTGAGCTGGAGCGGCAGCAGGAGCAGGAGATGATCGAACAGGCTCTTAAGCTCAGTCTGCAGGAGCACTAATATTGTAACAGCGATTCCAAATTGAAGTTCTATTGATTTCTAGTGTAAACTTTGGACTAAGTTGTATAAAAAATACGAGTACTTTAAGTTCCCCTTGCACCATTGTCCGCCCCAAGTCCTTGTTTTGAATTGTGATACAAGCGGGACGCAAGCGGAAAGCTGTCGCCTGGTCTCAACTCGTCCACTCGCAACCGAAGGATCCACCCTATCTATATAAACCATGAATCCAAAGTAGTCCTCGTAGCTGTAGCTTTTGCAAATGTATCTAGTATCTGTTAGATACGATCTTAAAATTAAGTCCATGTGGTAGCGAAAGGTATAACGCGTATCTTCCGCTTCGGTTAGAAGTACCATGGCAGATCTCTAACCGATCGACCACATGTGTGCGTGTCCTTAATCTGTATCCACTAATCAGCATTACCCATAATTTATACTAATATACCCAAAAACCACATCATGCGCATGTAAGCTGTCACTTTTTTGTGTAAATGAAGAAAATATATGAAATAATCATCAAGAAAAGATGTTTTTTTTACTTAGCGATATAGTTTCGTTTATTAAGCACTATATACAATGTCAAAATCGGTAGACAACTTAATGCTAATTAAGCAAACACAATTAAAAGTCTCAGAATTCAATTTGGTATCAACTCAAGGTGGTATACAGCTTGCTTTCTGATACTACTTTCTAAGATCTTGAGAGTCGGAAAGCGGCTAAAGCCATGCGAAGCAGTTTACGATCAGACAAGAGCGAGCTAACTGTGTAATCTCCATTGGGTTATCAGCGATCACACTTAGGTCACAATATAGAGTATATATATACATATGGGCTTGTTCTGGTTTTCACAGATTAAAACTTTTGTTCGATTTTGAATCACTTATTTGTGATACTATCTATCATTTAAATGAGAGGGTTCCTAATTTTTTTAACGAAAATAATAAGCCTAAAAAAGACAAACACGTTTTTGAGTAACATTTAGCTTATATGAAAATTTTCGATTACCCTGTATTGCACACCTTCGGCTAAAACTTTAAAACATAATTATCAAGATATAAAATTTGTATGGATATTTAAACTTTTAAAAATTATTTGAAAAATATTAGTATGCCTGACTCAAAGGTTAAGCAAATCTTACAGATTAAAAAAGGTTCGATAGATATATCAAAAAAATGTGAAAACCGGAACACGCCTGATAAGTTTTACTTACATCTAGGAGTCATTCAGCTGGTGATCACTTCGTTAAGATAAGTGAAGTGGCCGCCGTTGTCGGAATATAGGGGTTCTTGGATCAGTTTTACGACTAGATGTACTTGAAGCACTTTTGCTTGTCGTGCGGGATACGAGTCTTGAAGAGAATGGAGTCCGCTCGGTATTGGGTGTTCAGCAGCGGCGTATAACCGAACACCCGGCTAAAGAAGTTTATGCATTTGTGCCGTTCCTGGAAGTGAGTGTCATCCTCGCTGAGTGATACAGGACAACCGGGGCAACGGAATGTCCATCGGGAGGTTACTTTTACTGGTGGTTTCCTTGTTATATGAGAGACAAGGAAATTCATGGCAATGTCCTCGCAGTTCATGTACTCATCCACTTTATCCCTTATCGCCTGTGGCAAGTGGTAGGTGTACAAGTAAAGGTAGTACTTGTGTACGAACGCCGCTCCCGTCAGCACCATGCTAAGTTCGCAACTATAGTTTGAGTTGTAGTGCCACTGTCCATTGGGATTGCCCAAATCCCAAGCATGATAGCGTCCTGGGAAGCCCACAACTCTATCGCGATGCTCTCGCCACACACGGAATCCAAAAAGAATCTCGTCATGACGCAAATGGGCATCGTCGTCTACAGAGAGCACTGCCTCCGTCTCAATGACATCAAAAGGCAGGAATCGGTTGTTTAGGGAATTTCTGGGAGCACGGAGCACAGCCACTGGAACTCCAATATCCGGCCAGCGCAGATCATCTAGCGGTGGCTTCGGGGAATTCCAAACCACCACAACCTTGTGCAAATAAGGCAGTCCATACAGTCTGCCCAATGAATCCATTAGGACCTGCTCTCGTTCGTAAGTTAGCATGACAATGGTGAACTGCTCTCTGGGGTAATTTCCACCAAGTGATTCGCCGAATTCCTTGCCCGCTCCTCCAAGTCCTTTGCCTATCGGCCGGAAGCCAGTATGCGAACCCATGAACTTGGCTTCCGAGGGCAACGCAGGATCAAAGGGCAGCTGAGGATATAGGTAAAAGGGATCTAACCAATCGTTCCAGGCTTCCTTTGCTTGCATTCGCAGTATTGTATAATTCCGGCGAAAAGCAGGACTTGGATATGGAGGCTCTATAGGTCCCAACGATTCCTCTGGTTCCGTGTCCAAGCCCACAGGAGGATCGGACTTCAAAGGTATGAATGTGCTGTTAAAAACACTTTGTGCTATAACTGAGGGTACTGGTCTGGGCGGAATTCCCAATCGATCCCTCAAACTGGCAATCACTGTATCAACAGTGGCTTGTACTGAGCTCAAGTATCGTTCCCAGATGAGTCTTCCCTGTCGACGCAGAAGAAGCAAATCTGCATCCTGAACTGCTCTTAGAAGAAAATGCAGCTCTGTTATCCTTGCTTTTGGCAGTAGAAGAGCAGATCTTCTCCAATCCAAAGTCTCAGCGTAAGGCAAGCGCAGTTCATCTGCTCCGAGGATGACAGGCACAGCTCCTGATCGTAGAGCTTCGTAAATCCTAGCCAACATTAGAGTCGACGACACTCTGCCATTCAACGGAGGTAAAATCAAAGAAAAGGTGGAATCTTTGAGCAACTGCCGGCGAGAGGAATCCGATCCACACAGCGTCCAATCTGGTATGGAATCGCCCTCTTGCTGCTCTGTAGCTGGGATGCACTGGAATTGCAGAACAAACTGATCCTGCGTAGCGCCCTTGGCCATATCAGCCAGATGCTCCAAAATAAAGGCATCCAAAGGATTCAAAATACTTTGTTTGGGCCTAAGTTCTCCTTGATATGTAAGCAGGTACTTCCTTCTGGCCGGCACCATTCCAGAGCACTCCTGCCACACATCTCCTCCAGGTGGACCCAAAATGGGTGGTACAATTAGATCGTAACCGGGACGGAACTGATCTCTTTCAAAAGCACTCTGCACTACAATGGCACGCATGGTGTTCTGCTTGTGGAGGGGGTTGGTGCGATGCGAGGTGAGATCTCTTCTAGCTAAGTTGAGCAACACATGGTTACGTCCATCGCCACCCCAATAAGGCAGGTTGTAAAGCCTCTGCATGTCCACAGGGCAGTCATTAGAATGACTCGGGGTAGAAGGTTGCTGATGTTCCGCTTCTTGTGCCGCGTAGCGATTGTTTCGAAGGAGATCCTGCTCAAGAAGAGCTTCTCCCACCAGCACCAGATATATGCAAGCATGCTTTGGATCCTTAACTATATGAGCATTATAGCCCAAAGTCTGTTTTAGTGTGGTCTTTAAAAAGCCATCGATATCGTAACCCTTCCTCTGCACGCTATGCTCATCTGGATCGTAAAGATAAACAGGGAATCCCGAGGTAAGACTGCAGCGGGAGTGATTAAAACAGTTGTGCATTTCGCAGCTGGCTGCCATTCCTCCAGTGATGGGATTCATTTTCCTTGGCAGTGTGTTTGGTAAAAGGGATCGCGGCAAGGCTAAGTCCGGGGTATTCCGCTGAACTGCCTCTCGCTGGGCAACCTGTGCTTGCTCCACGGAGATCTTGAGGCGCTCCAGTTCCGTTTGCTCCCGGAGGAGCTCCTGCTTTAGCTCCTCGATCTTTTGGTTGTACTGACTAATGTCTGATTGCAGCTTCTGGCGACGGGATTCCAGTTCGCGTAGCTCCACGGATACGGTGCTCTGGATTTAGAGGTGTTAGCAGTGAATCTGCTGTGATATGCGGAATACTCACCTTGATCCTCACCATCTCCTCTATGCGCATTTTTAGATCTCCCGCCCTCATGGCGCTGAAGTCCTCGTAGGCATCCAAAAGCGGGGAGCTGCGATGAAGATCCAAGGGTGGGACATCTTGCTCAGCCTAAGAGTTACATAGTAATAAGTTAATCAACATTTAGAATACAATATCTATGATAGGTAAATGTCTTTGACATATACTGATAACGTTAAGAACGTTAAGCTAAGAAAATACACTTGCGGTCAGTGAAATAGTAGAGAAATCGGTCAATGTAAGACGACTATCTTATATGATAGTGTTTAACATTCTCCCCCAATTAGGAAATGTTTTTAAGGAAAAGGCAGAAAACAATAAGCCATTATTATTATTATGAAAAAAAGGTCGTTCAACAAAACAATCATGTGTTGTGAACACAATTCCCGCGTTATCTGACATGCCAAAACTATGACCTGTGCAGTGGTGTTCCGATTTCCACTGGAGTTTACATCCTGTTCTAAAAATATAGCTAATTCAGGATACCTACGCTAAGAATTCGATAAGCCATGCAGGATACGAGAAGCAGGAACATCAGGATCACCGCTGGCAGCTTGTAGCGGCGAAACTGCCGCATCCAGGACGTCCGTAATCCCATGGGGTGGCGGATTTGAGCGGAAGAGGAGTTCGGGGCACAGGCGTCCTTGCCGCCACCACTGCCAGTGTCCAGGTGGTGGTACGCCTCTCCGGAGTGGCCAAGGTCGTATGCCGTTGGCATGGCATCAGCTTCAGCTCGCGATTTTACTAAAATAACGCATTTATTTACACTTTTTTGTGAGTTGCGTTCGTGTAGTTGGCAACGCGGCTCAGGGCTGCGTTCTAACTTCTTCAGAGAGAAATTTATCGGTGCAGCAATATTTATCGAAAGTAAAAGCTAATCAGATTAACCCGCCGAAATCCCATTATTTAAATATCAAATTTACAAAATTAAACAAAACAGCCCAACTTTATAAATAAAGTTAATTTGCAAATGTCGAACAGCGAATGTAAATGCATCATCCTAAATATACTCTCAATTGATGTATTCATTGGATTTATATTATATATATTACGTATGTTTCGGGCAAATCTTCCTCAATTACATAACCACACAAACATTTCTGATTTTTGCATACTAATTTTACAACTTAAAATATTTTTTTGAAAGAGAATATTATATATTTGATTATAAGTGTTTATGGTAAATTTGCATCCTTTTAAATTGTTAATATTATTGTAGTAAGTTTTTTCATAATCGTAGTAAACATGGTTTACGCTATCATCATTTTGAAATTACCGCCCAAACTAGAAATATCAGCTAACATTTGCTTAAGCAGCTGCTCTCTACAGAGCGAATAAACAGTCCGGATTTAACAGCGGATTTAAAGCTTCGTAACAGTTTGATTTTGAACTCGACTTGATAGACTTTGCTTGCGATTTTAGTCGCATTCAAATCAGCGGTTGCGGCGGTTTCGCTGGCATTTAGTTTGTTTATTTAATTACCGGCAGAACGCTTAAAACGATAATTAATAGCCGCGAAATGACTTCTAAGTCTTAACCAGTTGTGTTTGAGCTTTTATTACTATTAAAAATAGTTCCTAAGTGCACAAAAAGAAGGAGTTTAATTACAGCCACATCATATTTACATCCATTATTTTACGGAATCCTGCGCGGAATATTCCAAAATGGGTAAACGCTTCTATTTATATTTACTGTCGGTGACATTTTCACTTTCTTCGGCCGCCCATTGATTCTTTTCATTGCTTTGGCCTGCCTTTGTGGGCCGGGCCTTGAAAGTGAAAGCCAAACGAAAGGAAAATGGCAATTGGCGTGCGTATGTACATACCATCGATACCCTAACACTTAGCACTTAAAGGTGCGACTTAATGAGGGGATATCCATTGTCTATTTTAAATATGGACAGATATACGTTTTAAGATTTGCCATTTCTATTTTGCTAACTGTATTTTTAAATACTAGAGATTAGTTTATACTGATGACCTATTGGTTTAACAATTTTTAGTGCAAAATCATGACTGAACTTTTAGCAAAATTGTTTATTTCCTGTAGAAATGTATGAGCATTCTAGACAATTTTGTACAAATATTTCAACACTGCTCTAATTTTTTTTTATTTATTATACATTAAACATTTTCTTTTTGTTTCTGCAAATATTTACTTTCTTTTCTATTATTCATAATTTTGATTTTAGACTTTTAGACATTTATGACCATCAAGGTGATAAAACCTTTCCAAAAATCACTTTCTATACGATAAGATATAAACTCCCAGACATGTATTCTTTGTTAAAAAGGTCTTTTACCCTTGCAAAAATTAACTTTTCATATGACATTCTCTCTCTCTTATAAGCGTAGTGATGAGGTAAATATTATTTACAGTGACGTTCTAATCTTATTAGCTATTGATAACCTTTGTTAGGTTCCAATAGGTTAAGCTAATATTTATGGATGGAATGAAAATGTGTTACGCTAGCTAATAAATATGATTTATAATAATACAAAGATTTAGATTTAAATATATTGTCTGTGATTAAAACAGAACAAATAACTCTCGACTATGACAAGTTGTCTAAAAATAATAGTTAAATTGGATTAAGAGCTAACTCATCAATGTGCGTCAATTCCTTTTCTAGGGGAGTAAGAACTTCCGCATTTCGTTCTCAATCAAGACTAATTAAACTCCAGTTCGAGACCAGGCCAGCAACACTTAATTGAAACTTAGGCCCTCCCTCCCATTCCTCCGCCCTCTTTTTCCTTAGTTTTTACAGTAAAACGTGCCTAGTGTGATTAAGTGAGAAAATAATCTCTTTTACTAGGAAAAATTACTATATTTACTTTGAAAACTGGTTTTGCTTGGGTTTTTTGTAAAAAATATATCAGTTTATAATATTGAGATATTAGAATAATAATCCCAAGTATGTAGATGTATAAAAGCAGGAAACTGGGAATTCTTATCAATATAATGTAGTATTTATGTACCATCATTGACCCTTATCTTTATAACTTTTTCTTTTATTCATTTAGAAGATGTTCGCCTGATTAATTTAAGTTTTATTTTTGTTTTTAAATTAAATTAAATTATTCTTTTATTACCGGAGTCTTAAATGCTTTTCTTCTTCTTTTATGAGTTCTTATAGTCGGTATTAAATTTTTTTTTAATTTGTTTGATTTCTGATTCTCTGTTTTCTTATATAGAAGTTCTTATATTTAATATAGCAAACCCAAATCCCGCACTTTTTAGGCTTCTGAACTCCAGATTATTGATTTTATAGACTATAACTAATCAGTTATTTAATATATATATTCAGAAAAATAATCGTTATTGTACTCAAAATAACACATTATAGATGGTTGAGCCTAAGTTTTCTAAAATTGTTTTTCAAACTTTTAGAGCGATAATATTTGAGTTTTTCCAGATGTTTTGATAATTGATAAGGAAAATGAGAAAAAAACTAGAACTTATCAAAGTTACAAAAAAAAATCAAATATGGATAGAATTTAAATTTTAGAAGCTGGACTGTAGCTCTGCGGCTCGATTCGTTGACCCCGAATGACGAGTGCTTTGGATTTGGGACAAGCGACTTGGGCTTCGGCTTCGTCTGCGGCTTATCGGGGTGAGAGGTGGTCGAGGGGGGTGTGGGCTTAATTAGGGGCACATTCAGTGCAGTGGCGGTGCGTGTCTTCCTATTGCCACCCTTCTACATAGCCATTCATACCACCGCCTACCTCCCATGAAACCCCTTAACCCCCAAACCCTTCGACCTTTGCCGCAAGCACAAGCAAGCGGCGGTCGCAATTGCCTTGCCCACTAATAGTACATCCGCCATGGTTTTCCGCGGATCCGGACTCGGACTTAAATGCCGATTCGGAATCGGATTCAGTTACGCCGCAGCCCTGAACGTATATAGCCGCAAATAAGAAACCGGTCCTCTTCCGGAAAAGTTGGGATCGCAAACAGAAAAGAAAATTCCTAGCCAATTGACATGCATTTGAAGATCCGTCTCACCTGTCTCAAATATGAAATTTGGGGTAAGCATATCACTTGGCCATGCTCCGGTTCTGTTCAAAATCTTTTTGGCTCGGTTCGGAATGGATCGGAAGGGAGCCGAGCGGTGTGGTGTGGAACTGCCCTCTATTCGAGTGATAATTCAGTGTGTAACGGTGCATCGCCCGCTGTGACGGGCATTTTAATATCTGGAGTTTCGCCGATGGCCTGGTGCCTTAAAAGCCCCCAGCGGCGCAAGTGCAACCTCAGTTCGTTTCGATTAGCAGTGGCATTGGCAGTGGGTGTCGTATAGCAGCAGGATAGTTGCTGATTGCCAAACGCCAAACCATGTGTAAGACAAAGTGTTAACATTGTAAAGTAAAGTATAAACAGTGCGAGGATCGGTGGAAGGTTTAAATCTGTCTATGCCTTTATTACTCGAAAAGTAATTAGGTATTTTGCGCTCTTTGTTAAGTTAATATGTGTATTCTTAATCACGATCTATAAGCACCTGTCTGAATAATTGTTGAGTTTAAGTGGATTCTACAGAAATTGAATTGAATTCGACAATTATTACCAACTTTTAAAACAGATGTCACAAAAATAATTACATTGGTTAGCAGACTAACAGTTAATTGATGGTTAATTTTATGTGGATTCTTTTATTGGAAAGCCTTTGAAGGCGATAAAACCTTTACCAATTGATAATCGCTGTTCATTTAATAATATAGATTTATATTCCGAATCAGAAACAGTTAGACCATAACGCCAAACAAACTAATTGATATGTGAAAATCTTAGGGAAGTTGACAAGAGTTTAAAGGCCTGTACATTTTTGGTAAGCTTAAGTAAGATAAAGTCGCAGCTGGATAGGGATCGCTAAGTCTCTAGTGGAAGCCAATTGAAGAAATAAAAGAGCAAAGATTAAATTTTGAATTAGAAGACCAAGTTCTAATCCTTACTTTTAAAGTGTTAGAAATATATTTAAAGTATAATTTAACACAAAAAGAAGAGTAAGTTTCTATAAATGGGATAAAAAGATAAAAACTTTCTTATAAATAAGGGTGATTAATAAGTAACATAAAATTAATTATTTAATTACGTTATTTAGATTCTGTGTGGGATATTACAATGATTCATATTTAGTGGTCTGAGATAATGTTTATATTTTTATGATTCACCATAATGTATTATTATGCAACAAAAAACCCATAAACTCATGAAACCAATTTTTTAGTTTAATTATATTAATAATAATAGTTTTCTGATTTCGTATTAAAGTAAATAAAGAATATAAATTTGAGCTAGGATTTATAACGGCCATAATTTTAAAATGCATACCAATCGATTAGAAATCGATCGGTGACATCGAACCCTGCATATTTTAAGAGCTTTCCTTAAAGCTTTTCTCTGTTTAGGCAGCTTTTGCGATTAGACAGCTGATTAGCGGGGTAGAACATGTGAGATGCGGTAAATAAATGTAGGAAGTAGTTTCCCGGCGACCAGTGAACGTGTGAGAACGGGCAAAGTTCTCGGTTTTCTTTCGCCTGCATGCGTATTATGGGATTGTGGCGGTTTCTGAAATGTTCGTCTCGTTTATTTTTGCCTTTTGGAAAACGTGTTTAACGAGCAACAACAAAGTGTCGGACAATGCGAATGCGAATTTGCATTATAAAAAGAATCAAAACAAAAGCCGAAACAAAAACAAAAACGAAACTAAAGCTGAGCATGAATAAAGACAAAAACAAAAAACGAAATCTAAGCAGAGAATGGTGACACATAAATGTATCTTTATCTGTAGTTGTATCTGGGAGAGAGATAAAGAGAGTGAAAGCTTTTCGCTAAACACCTTGAAAGCTCAGCTCTTCGGTTTCGCCCTTTTGCTTTATGCCGCTTATTCGCATTGTTTGACATTTTGTTTTGCCCATTGTCCTGATCGTGATGTTATTGTTGTTGTTTATGCTCTTTAGTAAAGTTTCCGATTTCATTTCCGGTTTCATTTGATTCGATTCTCTTCGTTACGTTTCGTTTCGCCTGCCGACTTTGAAAATCGGATAAAACCATTGTTAATGTGAGTATGACTATCGCGGGTTTACTGTACTTACCGTTACATTGCTGACATTGGAGAACTTTAATTAATCGGAGTAATAAAAATAAATAAAAAAAAACGCGGGTAATGAGGGCAGACAAAATGGGAAGGCCGATAAGATATGTATAGAATTTCGGTTTTTTTTTGTGGGGAAAACACTTAAGTTATCGAAAATGTAATAAAATTCAGTAGCGTATTTCTGTATTTAAATTTTTCTGGCTTCCTAAAAGGTATTTTCTTTCATCGTTTAAGGGGTTTGATACAAAATTGTTTATGTATTATTTCAACATAATAAAGATAAAGATATCAATGTCTTTTGAACATTAAGTTAATTATTTATTAGGCACTGGAATTGCAAAATAATGATAGTTTATTATATTCGATTTTTTTTAGATTAAAATACAAATAAAAAATTATTTATCTGAATGCTCATAGTATTGAAAATAATCGTTTTTTTCAATTAAATAATTGTCTTGTTTTTTATAACATTATAGAATAATACATTTTAAATGTAGACTCCTTTGCGATCATCTCTTTCGTTACGTTTATCTGTTTATCTACTGCAAAACTCTCATGTATGTATGTATGAATCGTATGTATGTGCCTGCTTATCAGCTAAAGACAATCAATTTAAAAAAATCGAAGGGGTTATCTTCTTGCCTGCTTATTTAGCTCTATTTTATCAACACTCTTCGACAAGACAGTTGTGCGAAAACTAAATTACATATTTTTGCAATCAAAATGTCCCTCCAAGCTCAATATTTACCAATTTTACCACTAAACACGCGCATTGGTCTATATAATCGAGTTTTTCCGCTTATCAGAAACTGGAGATTTGTGATAGGCAAAATTGTCACTCCCTGTATCGGTGTGTTATTTTCACATCGACTACATACATATACATAAATTGCATATACATTATCTAACACTCTTTTACACTCTGTATATCTATGTTTTCACAGCTCTCTCCATCTTCTCCCTGGTTACTGGATTTTACTTCCTACACTTCTCCATAGCTCTGATCCTGGTCAACAAGGAGGTGCCACAGACGCGCGGAATGCTCTATCCCAGGGAATCAGAGACACGAGAGGTTCGCTCACTTGACGGGATCTGGAACTTTGTGAGGTCAGATCAGGCGAATCCCACTCAGGGTGTACGAGATGAATGGTATGCTAAGGAGTTGAGCCAGAGCAGGCCGACGATTCCGATGCCAGTGCCTGCCTCCTATAATGATATAACCACTGATAATTTGAGGGATCATGTGGGTACGGTGTGGTACGACAGGAAATTCTTTGTGCCCCGTTCCTGGGCAAAGGATCAAAGGATCTGGTTGAGATTCGGAAGTGTTCATTATGAAGCATATGTGGTGGGTATCGTAAGATAAACTAAGTTCTCAGTAAAATGAATTATAAATCCTTTATTTTAGTGGATTAACGGCCAGAAAGTAGTGAAGCACGAAATGGGTCACCTGCCCTTCGAAGCGGAAGTTACGGATCTCCTTAACTACGGTGCCGAGAACCGAATAACCGTGATGTGCGACAATGCCCTGATTCAGACGACAGTGCCGCAGGGCAGGATTACTGAAGTGCCCAATGATGGAGGAATGACCATTGTGCAGAGCTACACCTTTGACTTTTTCAACTATGCGGGGATTCACAGGAGTGTGCATCTGTACACCACGCCTCGTACTTTTATCGAGGAGGTTGAGGTCACCACCAATCTTTCTGCGGATGCCAGTGGTAGGATATTAACTTCTCGTATAGCTTTCTATATAACTTAGCTTTTGATTCCAGTTGGCGAGGTTTTTTATAGCGTAAGCGTGAATGGAAGTGCTGCCAATGAGGCGGATAATGTCCTGCATATTCAAACTAACCTCTACGACAAGGAAGGCCTACTCGTGGCAAATGCAACGTCAGACGGAAAACTCGGAGGCAAGTTGCAGGTTAACCAGGTAAAACCGTGGTGGCCCTACCTAATGCATCCCGAGCCCGGTTACCTGTACGAGCTGGAGATCAAACTATTGGCCACTAAGGACGAGCTTCTAGATGTCTACCGTCTGAAAGTTGGAATTCGAACTTTGAGTTGGAACAAAAAGCAATTCCTGATCAACGGCAAGCCTGTTTATTTCCGAGGATTCGGACGACACGAAGATGCGGATATCAGAGGAAAAGGTCTGGATAATGCCTTGATGGTTAGGGACTTTAATCTTCTCAAGTGGATTGGAGCAAATGCATACCGTACCTCGCATTATCCGTATTCAGAGGAGTCCATGCAGTTTGCGGATGAGCACGGTATTATGATCATAGACGAGTGTCCAAGTGTGGATACAGAGTTGAGTTATTCTAATTCTTCGGAGGGATTCTTACTAAAGATGTTAATTTTTCAGGAACTATAGCCAGGAGCTGTTGGGCAAGCACAAATCATCATTGGAGCAGCTCATACACAGGGATCGGAATCATCCGAGTGTGGTGATGTGGTCCATTGCCAATGAACCTCGAACTGGCAGCATGAGTGCGGACTCGTACTTTGAGTGGGTATCCTTAAGATTAATCTTAAGCTTCTCTTGTATAAATTTGTCTTTGCAGATTGGTGGCCAATTATACGCGTTCCCTGGATAGTTCTCGACCAATTACGGCTGCTATTGCCGTGCCTCATACTCAGGATAAGGCGGTAAGTGGAGGGTAATTAACCATATTTTTCTTTATCTAATCTATATTTCTCCACAGGGTCGTTCTCTGGACATCATTAGCTTCAATCGCTATAATGCCTGGTATTCAAACACCGGACGTCTAGACATGGTTACCCAGAATGTGATCGATGAGGCTACCGCTTGGAATAAGCATTACAATAAACCCATTATCATGTCTGAATATGGAGCTGATACCCTAGAGGGATTGCACATGGTGAGCCTATTTGTTAAAAGAGAATGTGTTATTCAAGTATTGATTAATGTTATCCCTATTACCCTGTTAGCAACCTTCCTATGTCTGGTCGGAGGAATTCCAGACGGAGGTATTTTCCCGCCATTTTAAGGCCTTTGACGAGCTTCGCAAGAAAGGCTGGTTTATTGGGGAGTTCGTTTGGAATTTTGCAGACTTTAAGACAGCTCAAAGTGAGTGATTTTTAATGTTAAGGTTTTGTATTATTTAATAACTTAAAATATAATCTTATTCAGGCTATACCCGCGTGGGCGGTAATAAAAAGGGAGTTTTTACCCGCGCCCGTCAACCTAAGGCGGCTGCACATCTCCTTCGGAAGAGATACTTTGCCTTGGGCAGAGATCTGGACCAATGCAGCTTCCCGGAGGATCTCTTTACCTATATTGCTGACCTGATATCCTAATGGATAAGTGAACGTTGATACCACCCAAGTATTTGGACACTGTAAATAAGATTACTGCCACCTCGGATTTGCATTTTTAGCTGATTACCCTAACCCATTCCGCTGCATTGCCCTTGTACAATATTAAAAAATAGCTCTAGTTGATTGTATTTTTGTATGTAATTGTAAGCATAAGATTATAAATAAAAGTGCGTTATAAATATTTATTTATATTTTAGGATTTCATATTGTCAGTTTTGCAGTATTCTAGTTAAGCAAAGGTATAAAAAATAATAAAAACAATGTTAAATAATGTTAGTGACGATTGGAAATCGCATGGACATTAGGAATGGGTTAAGTTAAAAATTATTTTTAAAGCGACTTGGCGGCAACTGATTCGACAACATAATCGGTACTGTATTAGGCCGGCGGCCAACTATCGATAAATACTGATATTTAGCACTGTTCAGTTAAGCTTGAATACGACCTGGCAATGCCTTACCATAAGCCGCGCTTTTCAAATTTTAAATGAATATTATAAAGACAAATACGTCTCAAATCTTCAATTGTATATGTTTCTATAAATTAAAGAGCACATATGCATTGCTGACAATGAAGTTATTCATTCTTATCAAGACTTTAATTTATGGACCCCTACATTACTTATATTATAAAATAAAACACCAAGTCTTCTTTCTTGCATGATAGTTGAATTTTTATTTAAATTGCAGCCAATGAATGTTATAGTAATCTCGTTAAGTTAACTTACGCTGTCTGCCAAGCAAAGTTCCCAAAACCCTGAACCCCATACCAAGCAATAATTCTTTTGAAAATGCGCGCCAATTTGTTGGAAACTAAAAGTAAAAAATGAATAAAAAGATAAAGAAAAGCATTTTTAGCTAGAAAAATTGTGTGGGTGTGTCTTCGAATTATTGTTAAGTATGGTGCCAGTGGGATTTGCTTTATTTCTATTGGTAGTTGGTATTTGGTATTTAAAGATAGACAGATCTGCAAACACTTAGTCACTAGGTAATGATGTCGGCTTAAAGTTTTCGTAGAGTTTTGATTTGGTTTTCGAATAGTTCGCTTTGTTTTAGTTTAATGAAGGTAATACATTGTGATATCCATCGTTACCCTCGGCTTAATCTTAATTAATCTTATATATATATGTCATTATGCAGTGTATTTTCTTTTTAAGTGTTCGTTTGGTTTAGCTAATTATGTGTTACCCATTTTTCCCGAAAGTAGTTTGCTCTTCAAATATTACACGTTATTCGAACTGTTCTGCTTATAAGTTACGTAATATGCCAGCTTATTCAAAGAAATCCTCAACACATAATTACCGATCTAACATATACGTAATAGTACAACAGTATTAAATGTAATTTACCTAGGCTGTGGCTTTAACAATACGTTTAAATTTCATTTAAACTGGCTTCCACCGGTTCGATAAGTTATATGGTAGACCGATCCTATATCAATATTACAGTTTAGTACGATGCTCAACAAATGTACTTAAGTCTAAGATGCGTAGTCGATCGCTGATCAATACGCTTATTAAATGTCTCTAGCTGGGCTATACACAATCGAGTACTCGGTTCAGTTATAACGATTCCAATGCCTTGGTTCCCAATTCCCAATCCTAACTCAACGTACCATTCTTGAAGCAGTTAAGAGAGATATAGTCTAACACCTAAACATAGTTTCGAGTTATACAATTCACGTTAAGTTGGAAAACACATAAAAATTTGTAGTAGATTGCTCTATATGTATATATGTCAATTATGGTGTAGTGGCTTAGATCTCTAGTTATTTTGATTAGATACTTTTGTATTTCCTTGGTGGCATCTCTTCTCACAAATTAAACGTCTTGCTTCTAAAAACAGTCTCCACTTGGCTCTATAAATTTAGCTATATCTAAACAGAATATATTTGCATAGTTTAACATCAATTCAATCCGCTATTTACAAACTTAATATCTAAATAATTATATGACTGCTCCTTGATCCTTCGTCGTGCATTTTTTTTTGGTTTATCGTCTTTGGTATACAAGATGCGTTAATCCTTGCCTGGTTATAGCCGAAGAGGTTAGATCAACATCCGCTTGTCAGTTTAGCAGAAGCGTCTGCGAAAATGGTGCAATTGAGAAAGATTCATTAGTAAAGTGTGAATTGTTGCAAGGGGGCTAAAAAACTTTCTCCATTCACGGAAAAGTTCATCGAAATGTTAGTGTAAGTGAGGCGCCAAACTAAGCAGAAATTCTTCAAATTAATGTTACTTAATTTAACTTTCATGTTGCCTTTGGAAATGAAAATGAATAAATGGCAAAGATTTAACTGCTGCCACATCCAGATGGCTGTTCCTTCAGCAAATCCTAATGGTAACTATTCAAAACTTCTGCGCCCGTCTTTGTAGATAAAAACCCCCCTTATTTCCTGATTTGGTTTTGTGTTTGGTAGCTTAAGGGTGGGAGGATAAAGAGGATGTTTTTAAGTGGATAATGTGGCATAATTCTAATGCATTGACCAACATCGCTGCCTGCAGATGACAGGTCCGATAAAGGTCTGATAAAACTTTCGCTGTTGGACCCAAAAAGTTCTTCTGTCGTTTTTAAACCTAAACAATGGTTTCAATTCCTGTCAAGGAATGCAAAACCCCCACAAAACTCCTTCAGCAGCTGCAGCCATGACCTTTCCACTCAACTTTCAACTCAAGCAATATCAATTTCGGGTCAGGTTTCGAACATTGCAAAATTGAAACTTGCCAGCCAGAGACAATAACATAAAAAGAATGCAATTGCGTGTGCGTTGAATCGATTCAAGAGGTTTCCCATGGCCGTCGGCCAAATTGACTAACACAATAACCATAAATGGTGTACACAAGGTACAGAGAGAAATTTGTATAACTATACAGGTATTCCCCTTAATGGTGCCAGAGTAGAACTCAAAAAGTTTATGAAACCGCTTAACGGCGCATTAAAGTATGCAACAAAATATTATTACAAGACTAAGATGTAAAAAGTGACTGATTTCTTTAGTTAATTTTTTTGTTTTATGTAAATATTAATAAAGAAATCTTTAAACTTTTAAATTTAAAAAATATTTTAGGGAAAGAATGTTGGGACAAAATATGTATCTGTTTCAGCACAGTTTGACAGGAATTTTAACACGTTTTATTAGAGTGCATCCCTTTTGATGGTTATTGGTTTCAGCAAGGATCTCTTACCTTCGCCTCTTCGCATGCACTATCTAGAGCTTCCCGCTGCGGTAGTGGACTGGTCGGTGGCCGCCGAAGAGGATGCGCTTGAAGGCTTGACGGAATTCCGGACTGAAGATGGTGTAGATGACCTGCAAGAGGAAATCGTTAAATCAGTGTTGAATGGAAAAGTTATAGAGAATAGAAAAGCTTAAATTTTAGTCCTCATTATCAATATAGTTTTTTGTTTTTAACTTGAAGATGGTAAAGGTAATTCCCTCTTAAAATTCTATAAATATGTGAAATATCTTTTCATAACCTCCTGCGTTGTTTAATGTACCGGATATTTAATATTTAATTTACCGGATTGAGGGTGGAGTTGAAGTATCCTAACCACAGGAAGAGCGAGGCCACGCTGTCACTGATCTGGCAGGCGGCACAGAGGGGCATGGTCAGGGCCATGACGAAGAAGGGCAGCCAGCAGACGACGAAGGCGCCGGTGATGATGGCCAGCGTCTTGGCCGCCTTGCGTTCCCTTTTGGCCTCCAGTGTTTCCTTTCGCTTGTTAACCTTCTGCATAGGATTGACGATGCTAGAGAGTTGCTGCTGCTGTTGTTGTTGTTGCTGATGTTGCAATGGGGGCTGCTGCTGCTTGGGGCGTGGCTCTGGGGTCAAAGGGGATTCGTTGGCGGCACCGCATAGTGGATGCGATTGGTTGCAGCTCGTCAGCGTGCTGGTTTTGGTTGTCATCGGTCCGGCGGCGGCGGCAGCGATTCCCTGCGAAGTTGGCGTTTGTGGCGATAGCGCCGATATCGACGTAATTGTGGTGGCATTTGACGTACTGGCCCCACCTCCACCACCACCGGATTTCGTTGATTTCTGCAGCTGCTGCACTTGTTCAAGCTGCTGTTGCAACTGCGGATCCTCCAGGACCTCCACCCCGTTGGCTTTGCACTGGTCTTCCTCGGTTACTGCCGCTGGCGTTGCTGATGTTGCGGTTGCGGGTTGTGGTTCGTTCTGCTCCTGGTCATCCTGGTCCTCCTCCTGATCCTCCTGCTCATCCTGTTCTGTCCGCTGCCCGTCATTGCCTTGGCCCGATGCGGCCGCACCGTTGACAACGGACGAGGACTTGGCTGCTGACTTGCCCTGCTGCTTGGCCAACGCCACCAGGTGCGACACGGTGGCTATCTGGTTGCCGGACGTGCTGGGTGCCTACAATGAAAGTTGGATGATTGGAGTTAGTTGGTTCCCAAGTTAATTAAATTTAGTTTGTACTTCCAGATGCTCTTGCACTTGGAAAAATATTTACTATATTTTTAAAAGGATGACCAAAGATTTTGGATAATTTGAAAAATTACAATAATGATAGATTAATAAAGTGGGTTTAATAAATATAAAGGCAATTATAATGTAATTTTATTGTTGTAAGACTTATTGCCAATTTAGAGAACCAATATTTGATATCAGAAATATTATGTGGCTGTGCATACTCGTACAGTTCACCGATTTCGGACCCGCGGATTCAAGTTTCATGAGCCAAATTAGCATTTTAAATCAGTACCCGCATTGCATTCATAAATTTATTTACTGCTCATCAAATTTCATGGCGTTGGGGCCATAAATTTCGGTAAATGAATAAAATCAGTGTGTAAATATTTACTTTCGTTAAGCTCGTTGGCCATTTGGGTCCAAAAAAGGGGCGGCCCATTCCCCGTTTTTTATCAGACCTCAGACACTCTCGAAAGGGCTGCTAGGCAATTTGCCGGATGTAACGTACATATTTGAGGAGCCCATCCTGCTAACGGCTTGTCTAGCACTAAAATTCCCATAATCACCTGTAATTTGAGCCCGGCCGTAGGTGAGCGTCGGGCGGAAGTGGCCGCAAAGTGCTAAAATGAACTTTACGTGTGATAAATTGTGTCTACTTCGCAGCTGGGCACCTTTTGCTGCCGATAACGATAATATTTAGGGATGTGAGTGGGCCATTGGTTATAGCGATAGTTTCGACAACTTATGATCGTTAAGAATGGGTTTCAATATTGTCTATATTTAGATTTGGATATGACTATTTGACTATTTTTTTGATTTATTATTTTATGATTTATAAAAAGCTAAAAAACGCACAATGTATTTGATTTTCAGCTTTAATTAGAAAGGTTTATCTACATCCATTAAAAAAAGGAGAGGAAATCATATGAAGATCCGCGTAGGGCCATTATTTTTGTACCATCTCCATTATTCTCGAAAGTAAGCCAAGTTCAATTAATGGCCTGACCAAATGAATTTTATGACTGTGATGCTGCCATAAATTATGAACCATATTGTGTTGAGTATGTAATTGGTGTGCTCGGGAAGACATTCAAATTCAGAGAAGTAAAAACTGCTGTCCCGGGAACAATGGAAAAATGGGATAAATCGCTGGACAAGAGCTTAGTTCACATCAAATTCAATGGCCATTGGCCAATTGTGTATAAACACAAAGCAACCAAATCGAATCCAATGGACATATGTGCTGGTACTAGGGTGGAACACCTTTAACCTTAATTATATGTGTTAAAAACAAAAATGTTTTATATAATTAAGAAATATACTTTTTTCTGTCATTATACCGCTAAGGATGTAAATTTCTATAATAAAAGTAGATGTTAGAGCTTTATTATTTAAAAATCTTTGAAGATAATGCAAATGTAGTGAAAATATTCGACAAAAAGGGAGAATTTGAATTCATTTTGAAGTAGATATGTACACCATGGCCCGTTTGATTTACGTTCAGGCCCACTCTAATGTCCATTTGTCCGGCGGCATTGTCATGGGCATTGTAATTGTGTTTCCCAACACAAGCGGGCCATTCGATCTGCTCATCCTTGCAGCAGGATTTTTAATATGTTTCAAGGAAGAGGAGCCAGGCAAAGCAGAGCAAAGCAAAGCAAATCAAAGCCACAGCAAATCACAGTGAAGCCAAAGACAAATCAGCAACAAAGCATCCAATTGCCAAAGCAAAGAGCGTAGTTTAATTTACAGATATCGAACAATAGAGAACAATGGTTGAAAAAATCCAGGAGGAAATGAGAAAGAGGGGTTTGCTCCGTTGAAATGCCGAGAATTTTTGCAATTTTGCACCTGCACCGAAGGACACTGAACCATTGAAGCATGCTACAAAAAAAATGTTGCATTTTCCACATTAATTTTCGTGCAGCTTTAGTAATTATGCAACTGGAAACGTAAATATCCACAGATATTTTGTTTCCATTTGCGGTTAGTTTACTTTTTTCGCGATGTTTGTTGTAGTTTTTGGCAGACTTTTTCGGTTATATTTAACGGACACACACACAACTATAATAAATTTATATATTTGCTTTGGGCCATGCGTGCAAAAGTGTGTTTGTTTATTTATTTGGTCGTCCACTTATTTGCCCAAGAGGAGGGAGACCGAATGCGAGGTGTGTGGAAGCCATTCCCAAGTAAATATTTAATCTCAGGTCCAAGATTGGGCCAGTGGAAGGGGCAACTGGGCGTTATGTTGGCCAAGCGAATGGAAACGAAAGCTGTTAGCCATAAGCCATCAACATATTTTCCTCAATTACTCAAGCGTATTGAGTGCCTTGTTAGGCGCCCCAGAATCAGAATGGGAATCGCAATCGAAATCCACGGGTCAAGGAGTCAAAGGCCCCCCAAAAGCCAACCTCTTTCACTCTCTCTCAACCTCTCTCTCTCTCTTTTCTTCTCTTGTTAACTGACTTTTGGCTCCTGTTGCTATTTTGCTTCTATACTCTTAATTGGGGAGATGTGATTTTATCTAGAAGTTTGACCAAAACTATTAAATTAAGAGAAATTGAGGAAAATTTGCGGGCGCGTTGGAATAATCTTGTAATTTAAATTTAACAAAAGGTTAGTTTTTTGTAGTTTTTTAATATTTAAATTAATTATAGGTAAATAGTTTTACTGGATAGGCATATTTCCACGCCTAAAATTGAAACTCAACAGTCTACTTTCGAATTTTCAAAATAAATAAAGATATTGTTTTATCTCATTTTTAAGATAATTTTTATGAAATATCGTTTAAATTTTAAGAATAATTTATTAAGGAAGTATGTCGCTAGAAAGAGTACAGCAAGCTTCGACTTCTATTGTTATTTATTCCTTTCTTATTTTCATTTGAATCTGCCTTTCTCGCTTTCTGTTATTTTGTCTCTGTTTCGCTCTTTGCATGCCCAAAAGGAGGTTGGGGGAGGCGTATCCTTGTCACAGCTTATATTTGACTTTGCTATTACTTAACCGGCACGAACCTGGCGATTCCGCCCCTGCCCCTTGCCACCTGCCTGTTGCCCCCTGACCTTTCACCAGTCGCCTTGACTTCGCCACCTCGTTTCGAGCAATGCAAAGGTATTGGTATTGGCCCGGCTTGTCGCAATGCAAACAAAACGTTGAAGCAATTTATTTCGGCTCTGCTCTTTTATGGCTCGCTTTTGGCCCCTTCGCTTTAATGCGTGTTATTATTGAATGTGTGGCCCCGTTTGGATTATTTTTTAGCCATAAAATCGCTGGCCGAAAATTGAAGTATATAAAATGGCCGCTAAATACAAATTTTGGGTTCGGGCCATTCTGCCCCCTGCCGACTTTCTGGCCGGATTTCTCCCTCCGAAATAAACCGAAAGCTTTGCCTGCATTTTATCGCTGACATTTTGGTCGAGTGGCGGATAATTTGCCTGGATTGTTGGGGCTTATCCTGCGGAGTGGGTTACTTATCCCAGCACTCAGGGCAACGGCTTCATTTGCAATTATCAAATTGCCATCTCAATTCTAATTGGTAGCAAGGAATCTTAGGAAATATTGAAGATGTTTTAGAGTGCCTAAAAACTGTAGCTAAATTTATATTTATATAATTTGACAAGTTATTTTTATTACAAAATTTATATTTTACACAATTATAGACGTTTTGGCAAAACTTAAAGGTTTTCCTCTGTCCTGAATACCTTTAATTTTTTGACTAGAACTATATATATACTTTATTCATTCCTCTAGAAATATGTCTCAGGAAGACAAGAAAAGGTTAATAGCACCCCCGCATCCCCTTGGATCATTATCAGGAAATGTTTCCCAAGGAATTCTCAAGTGCATATTGCTGCGACGGCTGCTGGGCTAATGAGACATTAGCTGGGCTGGAAAAAAAAGATGGCTAAGCACAGGGCTGGCCGGAGATGGGAAAGACCGCTGAAAAGGTAGCCAAGAGGAAAAATCATTTCAATCCCCTAAAGGTAAAGGTAAAACTGAGGGCAGGACAAAGGGCACAACGCAGTTGGAGTCGCATAATAAAGCGAGAAATGAGCTGAACTCTGGTGGGTTTATTTTTGGTCAACCTATCTCCCGGGCTATCTGTGTGTGTGTGTGAGTGTGCCTTTCATTAAAGTGTGCGTGTGCATTCCGGACACAGGAAGCAAAGCCCCAGATCGTTGGGCACATGTCAGGCGTTATGAAATTTGCTTTAAACCCAAAAATGCGCATTGTTTTCTGGAGTTCACTTGGAAAAAATCTGTTAAAAATAAACATTTTGTTTATTGAAAATATATTCTTTTTACTATACAAAATTTGAAGCTAAATAAATATTTTTTACTTATATCCATTTTGTTAAATTTTGTACTATTAAAATAAGTCTAAAAAGAGCTATCAAACTCAACAATAAATCTACAAGAAATCAAGAATAATTAAATTAAATATATAAAATATATATATTTCAAAACGAATCTTAAGAAAACTTTCTATAAAAATATAATATTTCATATAATATAACTTTCTAATCCAAATTTCAAGTGCCTTGTATTTTTCACATACCTCAACTCCTGCTCGACTTTTGCTATCCACATTCGAGCTGCTAAACTCGGTGTCCTCAACGGTGTTGACGGTGTTCGTTGAGTTGCCATCGACCAGACCCAAAGCCCTGCCCTGGGATCCAGGACCTGAGACGCCCCCGGCACTTCCGGTCTTGGTCTTGGCCGTGGAGAATCTGCCCAGCCGTAGACGCAGTCGATTAAGTTTCGTATCTGTTGCCGCACCACTCTCCGGCTGTAAGAGATAGAAAGATAGATAGCAGGATGAGTGAGAGAAAGCGATAGAGTCCTCCTCTAGTTGTTGTCGGCATTGATTTTTGCGCCTTTGACCCCGTGTGCATGACTTCAAATTAAATTCATACTTCTTCGCACAGCATTAAAATGAATAACAAAAGAGCGCCGGCAAATTTACATTTTCGGCTTTTTGTGCCTTACGCTTCAATAAACCGCAATTTGTACGCATATCCAAGGAAAAACTTCCAGGCTGAGCCGAAGGATCCGATCTGATCCTTTTTTTTAGGCTCTCCAGTTACCATATGCATATGTAAGTGGGTTGCGTCCCGTAAATAAATTGTGTGTATTTGTTACAGTCACCCAAGAACATCTCCCAAATGGCCCACTTGGTCTGACCGCCCGACAGCTCAAAATAAATTTCACGTTTGACTGCTCCCAGCGCTTGACCTCTTTGATTTTTTCCCAGCCGCGTATCCCTTTTTTCGCTTTTCTTTGCTTTGGTAGTGTATTTTTTTTTTCTGGGGGACAATGAACTTCGACTTAGCCAGGGTTCAGTTTTTAAGAAAAATCTAATTAGCTTCTATTTTTGGTTTCGTTCTAATTGGGGCGTCTGAAGAGAGAATCCGTAAAAATAAATACTTAAGAAAGTATTTAGATACTTCAGGTAATCATCTTCGCTATTAATATTAAATGCTGAATAATAAGATTAGGGTATTAAGTAGAATCTGTTCTTGCTGATATAGAATTTGAAACTTATCAAAATAAAAATCTTTACTGAAGTTTAATAAGGTAAATGTAGAAGAGGAAATTCAGGTACAGAAATATTATAAATATAAGCTCTCTACTTTTTTGCTGTGTTAATTTGGGACTTCAACTTCTAGGAAACTTATTGATAAAAACATCAGAAAATAAATAAGACTTCAATCGTTCGTTGTTCTTTTATAAACTGCAGTGTATTTATGTTTCGATGTTCTGATTTTCTAAAATATCTCCCATGTCTTCCCTATTTTTGTCGCCTTCAATCCCACCAAATTAAAGTAATTGAGTAGTCCAACCCTTTGCCATCGGCCTCGACGTCTTTGTCCCCATCGCCTTCGACTCCGTCTGTTGACCCTTTGGCAAGTCGATATTGCTTTAAATAAATAAAATTATGCTGATTTTGCCGTCGTGTGCGGAAACTTCAACGATGGGGTGAAAGGAAAAAGGGCTCTGTTCCAAGACGATGGTGATCCAAAAATGGTGTGAATATTTGCGCAAATAGTATTAAATGGGTTTACAGCATTGGCCCCATGCGTGTGACCTTCATTTTGTGGGCCGAAAAACTGAAGGAAAATTGAGGGCCAAAGTCATCGTCAAGTGTCTTGCGGGTAGGCACAAAGTTCGATGAAAACTTCGACGGTCAGACAGCTATAGCTTATTAAATATTGAAGAGTTTAAGCTTAATTAGGCACAAGGAGAGAAGGCGGTAAAATGAGATATCCCAGTGGGAGGTTGAAGTCTGTCCAAGAATTAATAAATAACATGCTTCAAGTTTGTTTAAATTCTGCCAAAGCTGAAAGCTGGTATTAAATTTCCATTGCTGACTAAGGAGGAAAGCTTTTTATTGAATCTTCACCTAGATAAATTCCTAGCCTAGGAGAAAAAAGGAACCATTATTGTCATGCCAAGAAAAACAATTGCGAGGGAAGTTTCCTTCGGGGAAAACTAAAGTATCTACGCACTTGTCTGTTACTTAAATACCAAAGCAAACATGGCCAACACCCACACACACATATGTGATAAGAGCGATAAGAGGTCTCTTTTCAGCAGTTTGGCAATAACGATAAGGATGCGGATACAACCTCGGCTCAATGTGAATTTTATGCAGATGTGCTGTCAGCCGACTGTTTTTCTGTGTATTTAAGCGTTTGCATAAACGATACACTCATTCTCTTTTGGTCCTTTTAGCCATTTCTGGCACTTTGGCTAATTTATGTAAATTGTTTTCTTATTTAATTGTTTTTCTTGCCGAGACACATGTTCAGCTTCCGAAAGAAATGCGTGCGTACGTGTGTGTGTGTGTGTGTGTGTGTATTCAATAATGTGTTTTCATGCGATTTATGTTGGTCCTGAGTGTGACAAGAATGCTCTGGTATTAACTACACTGGGCAACAAAATTTATGCCTTCAAGAGGCCAAGGGTCCCGTTGCGAAACAAGCTAGGCAGCTAGGCAAAAATTAAAATAAATCCGCAATAAATAACGGCCAAATCAAATGCAAAAACTTGGCCTCAACAGATATACCAGAGACTGCATTTTGTCCCTTGAAAATAATTAAAAATTTGTGTGTTCAGATTTGCTTTAATATAGAACGGGTAAAAAGCCATAAAATCAATTTTGTTTTAATTTTTTAAGATTTTTTCAAACATATTTTTTAAGATAAATAAGTTTTCATTTTATTCATTTATTTAACATTTTTAACTAAAAGTGCACTCAGAACATTTGCTGCTCAGTTTTGCTGTTGGTTTTGCTGAGCATCTTTCCTTTCAGACACAAACACGTCTTAGTTTGTCGCAGATGGCGAGTTGGCCAAATATGCTTTTCACTCATGCGATGTCGGGTCTTTGACTGTTTTGTCACATGTTTGGCTGTGAAAATAGTGTCAATATCTAGAGCAATCAATTCTGAGATGTTGCTGTAAATGTGATTGTGATGAGTTGTTGGTCTATTGCCCTTGGGCCATTTTGGGCCATATTCAGCCAGCCTGCCTTCTATGTTCGATTATTAATAACATTTGCTGACCAGTCGCGCGCACATAATGCCAATAGCTGAATTACAGATAATACCTGCTTGGCTTAATTGCCATTTCTATCAGTTAATTGCAAAATCAATGTGCGTGTCCGTGTGTGTGTGTGTGTCTGTATGTGACCGGCATGAAAATTACATTTCAATTAAAAATACAAATATCCAGTTACATTTCGGGGGAAAAATTAGGTTTAGCCATTGATAGTTACATTTGTGAATTCGATTAGGCCGCTTTGTGCCATCGAATTATTTAACAATTTGCCAATAAACATACCGAATGCAAAGGCAATTAGCTCGAAATTTATGCTTTCTAAATCCTTTTTTTTACAAAAAAAAATTAAATATAAAATCGCAGCGGGTTAGAAGCGAATGTATACCCTCGTCAACGAGCAGGAAAGCAATTTTCGATTTGAAAGCGTTTAGTTATCAAGGAATGAGAAAAGGAGAAATAAAACCAATGAATAACAAGTCGCAGGCTTAATGCCCTTTTCTGTTCTACAAAACTGGCTGGATAACCAGGAAAACGGGGAATCTTTTCAATTCGATCGCAGGGTCAACAGAACTGGTGTAAGGGATATATCAGATGTGTGTGTGCCGGGTAAATATATTCTAAAATCAACAAGGAGGACAGGGTGGACCTGGCCAAGCCCGACTAGTGAGTGGCACTAAATGGATGTGGATGTGGGTGTAGATCTCAGGGTGTGTGTGTACTGTCGGTGTGCGGGTAAGTGTGTTGACATGTAACTAAAGCACGCATGTGAGGCTGGATTCGGCCGGACATCAACGGAGGACATCGGTGCAGGACACCGGGGCAGGACATGGGACAGGACATGTGTACGAATGGCAAATAGTGGACAACTTGCCTTGTTTGCGCATTGAATTTGTGATTCCAATGACTTTTCGCTTTAGCCAGGGTGATATGCACACACGTGCCTTTATACAGATGTGGTCAAGGCAATAGTAAAGAAAACTGGTAAGGAGAAGCCAAACCATTATAAATGAAAAACAAAAGTAAAAGAACCGATGGGATGAAATTTAAGTAGTTGCTGCTATTAACAACTAGTTTCCAAGCATTTCCTTAAGAATGCCATTGCAATTTTTCAAATTACCACTATTATTTTGACCTCAACTGTATGCAAAAGCGCATGTGTTGGTAAGTGGTTGCAAACATTTTTACGTCAAATGGTCATTTTCAATTTAGTAAGCACTAAGCTTAAGCTAAGTAGCAGCCTGCCAGCAGGTCAAGCCAAGATTGAAGAGAAAATAAATAAAAAGCCCCGAACGAAAAAGTCAGTTAGAGGGCAATCAGTATTGACCAAACTCCAGATACCCTATCGCGTGTTAAAAGTTAAGCAAAGTCAAGCGGAAGATTCTTTTGCGGACGAAAATTAGTTTTTAATTTCGTTGATAAACAACTTGGAGAACTTGTTGAAAATTCTTTTCTTTCGAAGTGAAAACAAAATTACAATTTGGCCAGACTTGCCTTGCGAACACATCCTGTGCGTATTAGTTTGACCAGCTGGCGCATTAGGGCAAAAACTTCTGGCCAAAAAGACTTTTACGCACACATACACACACACTCATACTCTCAGACATACACACTCGCAAGTCAAGACAAGCTGCCACTTATCGCTCAACTTTCGGTCAAGAAGGCTTTAATGTCCACGTGGCGTATGCTTAACTTAAGCCATAAACTCTCTCTTTTTCTCTGCTCTCTTTTTCTTTTCTTGGCTTAACCAATTCCTTTGCATTGCATATTTCATTACTTGGGATGAAGCTGGCTAATTAGAGCCCCCATTCCCCCTGGGTTTCGACTGAGTATTCTATGCATATTTAAATTGGATTCATAAGGTCATCATGTGCATAGGAATTTCAGAACGTTGCCTGCGGTTTGGCCTTTGACTGACCCTTGTGGCCCCGTGGAAGTTGTGGCCTAAATGGGCGCGGTTTGGTTCGATAGAGGGCGTAATTGCAATGGCCAGCATGTGGCTTTAACTTGAGATGTGAAATTTGATGGAATACAGGGTGCGCCTTAAGATAGTTTACTCCGCAAATTGACATTAGCAACCGAGTTTTCTGATTCTTAGAACTCTTAGTAGTTATTTTATAATTTCAAATTGTTTCTTTATAAGAGTTGTTTTTCTAATTTAATTTGAGGAATTTACTCTCCATTTTTGATTATTTTCTCTAAAAATTTAAATTCTTTAACTTGGTAATCTACCCTTTATAAAACCCATGTTGACCCAGCTAAAGCTACACTATGTATGCCATTAAAGCCGGTCAATTACGTCCGTCAATCAATAACGCTTATTGAATAGGAAGACTGCACTATACCTGATTATTATTGACCGCAGCATCGACAGGTCGTGGTCGTCGGCGATGGATGCGTTTGCGGGCCGTTTGATAGATTTTCCAGTACAACGCTAGGATGACCAGCAGCGGCACGTAGAATGTGCAACAGGTGGCAAATACCTGTTAATCATGAGTTAGGTTGATGTTTAATAAGCGCCTGATTAAACGAGAACCATTTGATGTTCCCTCACCTGGTAGGATACGTCCTGTGAGACCATGCACTTTTGCTGCTCAATGCGTTGCAGATAGTCAGGATCCTTCCAACCGAATTGTGGTGCCAGAGATACTATTACCGCCGCCGTCCAAACACAAAAGATCATCATAAAGACGCGATTGCTGGTCCGGGAGTGGATATAATCGATATTGGTCACCGCCCAATAGCTGCAAAAAGTTTAAAGTAAGTAGATGAATAAATATGCGAAGCTATTAATCACAAATCACATTAATCACATTAACTATTTGATAATATATCAAAAACAAGACTTAACGTATCGTTTGCTTTCAACAAGAACCTTATTAGGTATAAATAAAATTCGATATATTTATTTTTAAACATTACCCACTTGTGTTTCATTTACAATTGTGGTCACTTAAGCATGCTCGCTTAGTTACTCCATTATCCGAATCCACAAAAATGTAAATAAAATGCTGCATAAATCTAGGCGCTGCCAAGCATACGGATACAGATACACACACATACGGGAGGCACACCAACACTGTTACACAGACCCATATGGCAGGGCGACAAAGTAAAAAAACGTGTTCGATATTCAGTTTCCGTCTCACAGTTTCCCGTAGCGTTTTGTAACAACCTTTTTTGTTGGTTTTTTCTATTTGCCGAGCGGTCCAAAACATGTTTTATGTATGCCAGTGTCAGGGTGTTGGTGTATATATCTGTGACTGTGTGTTAGTATATGTGTATCTATGTGCGAGACATTTTTAAAATTTCCATTTTCCATAGCTACACAAAATAAGGTTAGTCTACTTTTTAAACTAAATTTGTTAAGAGAATTTTGAAGGTTTGTTCTCCAATGCTACCAAAAATTCAGCTCACATTCTTTATGCTTGGTTTCTACTTTAAGCCCAGTTAGTCCCGGATTACATGATTTAACTTTTCTTAGAAGTGGCTATTTTCGGTCTTGCGTGTGAGGGCATTCCGCATTCGTTTAACTCGAATCGAGTTTCTCTGTAAGCTAGTTTCCGATTTGGTTTGGGTTGAACAACATTCCTAAACGAGTTTTTAAAACCCTACGTGGTCGGCAACACACTCAAACACATATGTAGGAAACGGCTCTATAAGTTGAACTATTTGGGGAGCGTGGTGGATAATGTGCTCCTAAGGCTGATGATGTTTGTCATTAAATTGCTAATAGCCAGGGGAGAAAGTGGGAAAATATTTATTTACACGGAAACAAAACGCGGAAATTACTTTACTTTGGAGGATATAGAATACAAGTGTATGAAAATATTACGTTAAAGTAAAGAAATCTTTAATCCTTTCTGAAGAGAACCCAATGAAAATTTTATTAATTTTTAACTTGGCTCACCCTTTCTTCTATACAAAAAAGTTGTTTAAAATTTTGTACTTGGCATAGACAGAGGGATGCTGTAGAGGTCGCGCTTGAAGCTAAAAATATGTTTCTTCTCATCTGCGTTGCGGCTTGTGGGAATTAACGCCAGGAAACCGCAAATTTCAAAATTTCTCACATGCTAACAAGGAACTGAGAGAGAGACTGGAGATTCCTTCATTTCTGTGATGCCGCGCTCTGACCGCAGAGCTTTAAGTGGCAGCCAAAGACAACATCGACATTGGCCGGAGCCACGGCAAACACATGTTTATGTATTAATTAAATGCAATTTGCATAAACAAATATTATTTTGCCTTGCCAAGGAGGCAGAGAAAGTCTCTCTATCTCTCGTCACTGTATGTGTGTGTGTGTGTGTGTGTGCTCGTGTAAGTTGAAATCAACAATTAAATGAGTTGACTAAGCACTCGAAATGAGCCATAGATGGGATCTATATAGGAGCATGTGTGTGTGTGTGGCAAGGGTAAACCGATGTGAAGTGCCCTTTCGGCCATAGAGCATAATTTAATTTGTCTACAATTGAGCACTTAAATGACAGCTTTATAAATATTTGCCAATGGCGCTGCGTGAAAGCAATTAAGTGTCACTTAATTGTGGGAATTCCAGCCAACTAAATCTTCATTAAATTGCATTTTTCATGTATACTATAAACAAATAAGCCGATCACTGCATAATCATACCCCCCCCCATTGTATTGGATTTCTCTCGCGCATCACGCATACGCCATGTGTGCTGCGCAAATAATAAATAATAATGAATGATGATGACTGCTGATGGCCGATGACTTATGTCTGCTATGAATCTGACTTACTACCGAAGGACTGCTCCATATAGCTTGTCCTCTGTCTAGGACAACTTCGGTGGACCAACAGCCGGTCCATATCAGCCTCCTTTTCCAAATTCATTAGCATAATATAATCGACTTCAAGTTGCCAATTTCGATTGACTGCTTAAAATTAATGGAATTTTGTGATTTCGCTGTCAGTGCGCGCTGCTTGAATACATATTTATATGTTTTTGTATATGTATTTATTTGGTGTTTTTTTTCAAGAATACGCTGAAAAGAGGCTTTTGAAAAGAGTCGCTGTGCCGTGCATAGGCAATGAAAAATCCATGCAAATTAATAGCGAAACCTAATAAAGTGTCTGTCATGCTTTTGTCAAAGTATTGCCGTGCCGCAATTTATATAACTCATACGCGAAGCGGATAATAATTTGTTATAGACTGAAATATGCCCGGCGGCTTAGTCTGACGGTTAAATTCAATTGAATCGAAGTCAATCAATTTGTGCTAGTATCTGGCGACGTTCGTCGCCAAGTTAAGTTGAGTGATGAATTATAACAATTTATTTGTGAGCCAAACAATTTAAATGCGATTTTTCCATCATGCTCTGTCTATGCTGGAGTGTGTATATGTTCCTTTTTCTTTTTTGGTCATGAGTGTGTGATAAATGTGCGGCAGTCGAGTGTAACACTTTTTAATGCATTTTAAAATTGCGCGCCTAGCACACAAGAAAGTCATTACGGCTGCCTAACGCGAGGAGTAAATTGAAAGAAGGCAATTGGTTGGGGGATGGCTTTCTAAGTGAAGCGTGAGATTTTCACTTTACTTACTCACTTAATGAGCCCTCATTTGAATCATCAATTTAATCATTTTGTAAAAACGTGTCTCTTTTTATTATTTGTCTTCAAAAAGTTATCTTTTACAAAACATATTTACACTAAGATAATATTATCACACATCTTGTTATTAACATTAGAAAACAAGCTTTTAAAAAATGATTAAAAATATGGATTTATGTTTTTTCCATTTAATTTTCTATTATCATCATCCCATTAAAATGTCCCCAATAGAGCGTAATGAAAATTATTTTTCCACGCGGCCACAAACTCATTAATACAAATCCATTTAGAACAAAAGGCAGCGAACACGACTGGCTTTTTAAGCTGTCCATAATTAATTGAAATTTTATATATTGTCAAGTGGCGACAGTCAATATTTATCTACGCATCGGATCGCTTCATGGGCTTTTTTGCAATTCCCATTTCAATGCATATTTGATGCCTGTCGCCTGCTGTTTGCGTTTTATGCTTTATGGGTTTACTTTTTTTTGCTCCTATACGAGTATATATATAGGGAAGTGGGGATATATATATTCTATATTTTTTTGTTTTCAAATTTGCCGATGTCTACCCACAGCTAATCGATTGCATTACATTCGAAATCAGCTCAGCGTAGAGCAGTGAATAAAAAACAAAGGCATACACAAAAAGTTGATTTTATTCACCTGCGGCTGCCCCTTTTTGGTCGTCGAGTTTTTGTTTTTGTTTTGAGAACAACGGAAAATGGTCGGGCTGATGGGTTCACATGTGCTGGTAATAGTTTTGTTTTGTTCTAAGCCCCTGCGGCATCTGTGGCATGATTAAATTTTTGTAAAACTACTTGTTCTCCTTTCACATTCAACAATGGCCGCAGTCTAACAATAGATACGTCTCCCATTTTCACCTTCGAATATTGTGTGTTCTTTGCCAGGCTGATGGATTGTAATTAAAGTCATGAAACATGGAAAATCAGAAATCGTTTTTCGAAAATAGAAAGAGGTGAGAGATCTATAATTCTGAAGTTGGTAGGAAATGTTAAATATAGCATAGCTAAAATCTTTTAGCGTAGTTTTTCAACATCTGCTGAAGGGGAAAGACAATGTTAAAAATGTTGTAAAAGTGTTCTATAGGCAGCAAAAAGGCTTTCAACCCAAACCTATCTTAATACAACGATTTTAGTAAAAAAAATTAAAATAATCTCGTGGAAAAATCATTTCACTAATTTGTATTATCAGTTGCCTCATGTGAAAACTGGGATTTAATATATAAATGTGGCAAAGCATCGTGTGATTGGCATTTAATCATATCCATTTTTTGTTAAAATAACAAACCGCAGTAATTAAATATATTTTTTTGCTAGCAAAAACAATTAAAGTCCAATAAAGCATGAATAATGTTAAAATGAAGTATTTTTTTTTTTGAGTTTGCCTACTGGAGGTGTCTTTACTTCTCAAATTCCACAATCCACAAATGGCCTCATTTCCTCAATTTTTTCCTTGTTTCTTTGTTTTTTCTATAAGGATTACAGGGAAGTGGGCCTCGTTCTGTTGAAACATTTCTCGTGTCCCCCAGTTTTCAATGCGTCTGTGCTATGCTGACAAGCGGCTGGCCCACAGCGAAATTCAATTTAAAACGTGCTTACGTGGCCAAGTTCCAAGGAAAATGGCCATCCGGCATTACCGCATTCTGACACTGGAGAGCTCTTTTCGGTCAACACAATTTTATATTGCAGGCCAAAAGGGCTTGATGCGCCGCCTTCAGGCTGAAATCCTTATTGAAATATATAACTTTATACACTTTTATATCTCTTTTGGTTTCTCTCCTGGTTTTCCCTTCGTTCGGTTAATTTCCCATGTATACTCTTATGGTCTACGTGTAGAACAACGGCAAGTTTTTGGTTTATTCTTTTAATAAACGCAACAGGAATTATCCATAAAACATTGTGCTGGGCCACGCTAAAAGTTTTCTAGTTGCCGCACAGCTGGTGCAGGATGCGTCTTTTCTTGATTACAGGACCCTTTCTTCAACCAAGAATGTGTACAGTCGAGGGGGCAAAAGTATGTCTACGAAAAATGTTTTTATTGTTATTATTTTAACGTTTACTGGTTTCTGCTTAAATTTTTGTGAGTAAGAACTAAGAGTTAGATCATATATTTTAAATTTAAATGCCTTAAATGATTTATGATTTAAAAAA